GGGCCGGGGGGCCAGCCTGGATCTGAAGACTTGTCCACGTGGGGGGACAAAGGTCCCACCCAACTCTCCACCAGGAGGACCCCAAAGATCATCTTGGCTCCAGACCTTCCTGGGGTCACGAAGACCTGCCCCTCAGGGCAGTGCCGAGATGCCCCTGGACTGGCACGGACAGTGCCCCTCCTGGCATCTTGGGACGTAACCTTGGAAACAGCATCTTTGCAGGAGTAATTAGTTAAGGTGAGGTGGCTCCAGGGTAGGGTGGGTCCTTAGTCCTATGACTGGCATCCTTATGAGGAGACAGACGTTTGGACAGAGGTGCAGAGAGAAGCTGCTGGAAGATGGAGATAGTGTTGGGAGGACGCCCCTAAAAGCCCAGGGTCACCAAGCGCGTCTGCCACGTCAGGAGCTACAGACACACCTGGGGCAGCCCCTTCCTGAGCTCCCCCTGCAGGAACCAACCCTCCAGCTCCGGGACCTCGGGCCTCGGCCTCCAGAGCCCAGAGCGAAAAGTTCTGTTGTTTCGGCCCCAGTCGGTGGCCCTTTGCCACGTGGCCCGGGAGCCTGAGCTCCCCAGCGGCAGCCAGGGCAAGGATGAGGGGCACGGGTGTGAGGTGGGGGTGCCCGGCGCATCTGTACCCCTGTGGGTGGCCGAGGCTCTCCGGTCTCAGGGCAGAACCAGTCTGGGATCCTCTGTCCCTCTCTCTGCCCCTCCCCCCGACTCTCTCAAAAATAAATAACAATAGGGGCGCCTGGGTGGCGCAGTCGGTTAAGCGTCCGACTTCAGCCAGGTCACGATCTCGCGGTCCGTGAGTTCGAGCCCCGCGTCGGGCTCCGGGCTGATGGCTCAGAGCCTGGAGCCTGTTTCCGATTCTGTGTCTCCCTCTCTCTCTGCCCCTCCCCCGTTCATGCTCTGTCTCTCTCTGTCCCAAAAATAAATAAACGTTGAAAAAAAAATTAAAAAAAAAAAAAATAAATAAATAACAATATTAAAGAACAAAAGACTCAGGAGGCCAGTGGCTTTCCCGGGGCCACCGTCGCCGAGGGAGCCCTGAGGCCGTGGTGCCAGTGCTCCCTCCACAGCCCTGAAAATCCAAGAGATCCCGAGTGTGTGGAATTCCACGGGAGCAAGCCTGTGAAGAGCCCAGGTTGGCTCCTGCGGGTCTGGAGCCCCTTTCCCCGTGGAGATGTTTCCACCTTGTTGGGCCTGGGCAAGGGGCAGATCTTGTGACCAACCCTGCACGTGGCGCCTCGGGGCCCAGCGCCTAAACAAGGCTCGGTCACAGCAGCTGACCCCTGGGATGCAGAGGGAGGGTCGCCCAAGGCCGGTGTTGGGAGAGGCCGGCAGGTTGGGGGACGGACGGCAGAGGTCTCCCGTGGTCAGCATCTGCTGGCTGACTTCTGGCGTCTCCGAGGTGGGCGGAAGGTCGGGGGTCTGTGTCTCTTCCTCACCTGGCAAAACGTCCTCTGCGTCCAGAACCTGCTCTGAGCTGAACCTGCAAAGACCCTTGCAGCCCTCAGTGAAGGGGACCAGGTCGGTGTCCTGATTCCCACGTAGGTGTGTGGCCCTCCTGCCCCGGGATGTGCACCCCCACGGATGCTGCAAACGCCTGGTGTCAGAAGGGGAGAAGACCCCCTCTCCTGCCCCACAGGCTCCCAGGCTGGCTGACTCACCTCTGCAGTGCAGCTCTGGGGCCCGGGCTGGCTGTGCCCGGCCTGCGACTCTGTCATCTGAGGACGCCCATTCCTTCCGAGCCAGGGATTTTACGACTCAAAGGATTAGAAGCTGTTATTCCAACCCACCCTGGAGCGCTCTCCATTCTGATTTCATGGTAAGCTTCACTAATAAACTACTTAAAGCATATGCTAATTGTGTTCATCGTCTCCTTTATTATCATATGTAACATTAAGGATGTGGCTTCCCCTGGAATCTCAGGTCCTCCAGACTCTCTTAGCCCTGTGTGTGCACCTGTCTATGTGTGTGTGCACCTCGTGTGTGTGCACCTGTGTATGAGTGTGCACCTACGTGTGTGTGCACCTGCGTGTGTGTTTGTCCCAGCTGCACAGAACACCTGCCTCTTCAGAGCCAGCACAAAGCCTTGTGGGGCCCCTGTGTCCATCGGGTGGCTCGCTGAGGCAGGGCTAGAAGCCGCCCCCGAGCTCCGCCTCCGCTGACGCGAAGAAGGCGGGAAGTGACCCGACAGGGCCTCTCGATGTGGCTCACGGGGTTTCATCCCGGGGTCTATTCTGAGTCTGCTACAGAGAGATCATTATTTCTCATCTTAGGTTCCAGACCAAAACACATCTGCAGAGCCGTCAGGCTTCGAGAGCAAGAGAGGACCCCTCACTGCCTTCTGTTTACAAGAGCGAGGGCGGGGCACCCGGGAGAGAAGGCGGATGTGGAGACCAGGTCTTCAGGGTTAGCGGGGCGGGAGCCACACCCTCCATCCGTTATCTTGAAGGGCTGCCTCGATCTGAGCCGTGACAGGTCCCCTCGTGCAGGGGGCAGCCCAGGCCTCGTCTCCCCCAGGGCACCGGTCACCTGGGTTCACCTGCCCCAGAAGGTGGACGAAGCAGAGCGTCCTGATTTTATTCCAGCCCCGCTTTCCCACTTACACCACAGCCATCTGGCCCAGTGCATCCCAGGAAGCCGCAGGCTGTCCTCCAGGGCCAGCAGAGGGGTGGAGCCACGAAGCTGGGGGGGCGGGCAGCTGGGGGGAGTTGAAGCTCACACAGAGACAGCAAGTGGGGCGACCCTGCCACGTGGAGGGTGGAGAGGGTGGCCGTGGAGTGGCTCTCTCAGGTAGAACTCAGCACGACGTCATCTCAGCGATGGGTCGGAAGGAAAGACGTTGCTGATATTGGGGGCACTGGGTGTGGCCGGGAGCGGCCTGAGGCCCCGCAGCCCAGGCAGTCCTTCCGGCGGGGGGGGGGGCGGCCACATTGGGGCCAAGGGCCGGCACATTCCAGTGGATGGACGTCCAGTTATTATCAAGGCCTGTCCACAGGTGCAGGTGCCCAGCCTGTTCCGAAACTTGCCACGCAGTGGGCTTGGGTCTTTCTAGAGAGACGCAGGCTGGCAAAGTGCCATTTTCATTGGTGCCTCCGCCTCCTGGTGGAGGGGCTGGGCCAGCGCCCTGCCTCTCTGCCTCCCCACCCCTGCCACATTCAGGGCACCCCAGCTGCACATGGAGAAAGAGGAAGCAAGACTGGCGGGGGGCCGCTGACTCCTGCGCGGTGAGGTCCCAGGCGGTGCTGTCGCCCAGGGGATTCCTCCTCCTCGCGCTCCGGGGCGGATGGCCCTGCGTGCAGCGTGCAGGCCTGCTCAGGCCCAGCCGCGAGGCGCTCCTTCTCCAGGTGGGAAAACACCGCATGTTCCCCGTGCCGTGTTCCCTGGGGGCCTCAACTCTGGAATCAGGAATGGTTTGCCAAGATGTCTGTGGGCGCACTGGGGGAGGTGACAGCCGCGTGCCTCCGGGGTTGACCCAGCCCGGACATTTCGTGGCCTGGGAAGAAGCAAGCGCAGAAACAACCTTTGAGGTCGGGTTTCCTCCCGCGCCCGAGCCCACGGCGGTGCGTCTGCAGACAGCGTTGCCTTCGCCTGCACCTGCGAAGCCGACAGGCTCCAGAAGCTTCCCCGCCTGAATTCAGCTTCCTCACCTATAGGCTGGAGCCTTCTAGCCCCTCACTCAAGTTTGGCTGAAGACGAGGGCCTGAAGACGAGGGGAGCCTCTGGCCTGAGCCCAGCACACAGCAGGCTGCAGGCAAGGGCCACCGCCGTCCCCGTGACCCAGGAACAAGCCAGGATCCTGGCTGCAGGTGTGAGGCTAGCAGGCGGAGGAGACAGGACGCCAGCACCCTCTGTGAGTGGGGGGGGCGAGGGAGGCCGGCAGGGCCGGATGCCCCCCAGGCTGGGACGGGTGAGTGCCAGCGCACCCGGAGAGGCACACCTCGGGACAGCGTGTGCGGGCATTAGCCCGTCTGTAAACACCAGCAAACTCTGCCCAAGTAACAGAGGACAGTCACTGTCATGTAATTGCAGGGTAATCACATGGTTATTTTTGCTTTGCAAATTAAAGTGTTACTATGAGGTTGAACAATTATGCAGGGTAATTAGACCCCAATTCACATGCTAACTCTGGGTAAATAATCAGGTAATCCATAGGATGCGTCGTTACTGCACAAATAGGGAGTCGTTATTAGCATGTAATTATGCATTAATGGAAGGTGGGTGGCCTTGCACACGGGTGTGCTTCCCAATGCGTCCTGTCCTGTAACTTCCTTAGCTTCCCCCTGCACAGCCAGACCCTGTGAGCAACCCTGCCTGGCCCGGTCGGGGGACACCAGGAGTCCTCACATGGTGGACCCAGCTGACGGGCCAATTTGCAAGAAAGGTTTTCTCCCCCTAACACCCTGGGATTACGGCAGAGCTGGCCGCCAGCTGGAGGGCACAGCACATCAGGGCATCTGCCGCTGCCACGACCGAGGCGGGATGCCAGCCCGCCTCCACCCACCCCGGGTGCACCCAGGCTGTTCATCGCCCCTGTGGCGGCGGCTTGGACCCAGCAGGTACCCGCCCGTGAGGTTATCGCTGCGCCCAGGAGCCTGAGAAGGGACGGGCTCACAGCAAGCAGGTGCCCGTGTGTGGATCCCTTGCCTACTCGCTCACTCGCTCACACCCTCAGGCCTTGGGCCCCACGCCCAGCTGGGCGCCCCGTGCACATCCCCGTGTGCGCCCGTCACCAGAGGCTTTGCAGGCGGTGAAAGCGTGTGTCCCCAGATTCATACGTTGGAGCCTGAATGTGGCGGTGTTAGGAGCCCGTGAGAACAGGCCCCATAGCCCCTGCCCTTGCTGCCCCCACCATACAAGGACACAGCGGAAGCAGCTGCCTGGAAACCAGGTGGCCGGGCCGGCTCCCTGACCTTGACTCCCAGTGGGGAGAAGTCAGGTCTGTGTTTGGGCCGCTCTTCCTGCTGACGTCTGTGGTATTGTTACGGGAGCCCAAGGGGACCGAGCCGGGGATGACATCTGCCCGCAGCCGCTGTTGTGATGCGTGGGACACACCCGGCCCCCGAGTGCCCCGTTACCTTCTCTCCGGACTCAGGACTCCGGACCGGGGCCTCTCAGCTCCGGCACCAGTGACGTTGGGGCACGTGGTGTGGTTCTCCTGGGCCGTCCTGTGCACGTAGGATGTTTGGTGACGCCCTGCCTCCGCCCGGCAGGTGCGGGGGCTCCTCCCGCGGTAGACTTCGTCCGAGCCACTGAAATTATTGCAGACGCTGCCAAGTGTTGCCGACAGATGTTCAGGTGAGAACCACCGAATTCCACTCTCGGGCCACCCCCGGCCCGCCGCCTGCTTGTACGAGTCAAGTTTTACCGGCAGCTCGGCCTTCCGTCCTTCGCGAGGTGCCGACAGAGGCTGCGACGTGGAGCGGGGGGCGGGGGGACTGCCGCAGGGACCGTGTGAAGGATGTACGGTCTGGCCGTCCGCTCTACCCTGGGGTGTTACTGGCGGAAGCCGATGACTTTGGGGGATTGGAAAATGGATTGTGAGTGACCCGGGGGCTTGATAAGCTAATTAAGTTATTTCTAATATGCCCTGGCTGCTTTCAATTCATTAACTATATTGCATGCCAAGGGGGGAACTGCTCATAAACCATCTGCGGGCTGACGGGGCACCGGGGACCACCCTGCGAGCCCCCGGCCGCGCGCCCCCAGCCGTGCGCCCGGCTTGGGAGGTGGGGGCCGCTTCTCCCAGGCAGACGCTCGTAGCCGTCTCTCCGGCCCCGTGACCCGCACGTACCAGGTGGTCCGCAGAGGCCCCCGCGGCAGGGGAGCGCGTGTTAGCCCAAAGGCCCAGGGTCGGAGGCCTGCCTTCTGTCTGGGTTTTCACTGGGCTCCCGGCACGGAGCTCGGCGGGCCTTGCCTCTCCATCTCCGCCAGCCGCGACTCTTTCAGCCCTTTGGTAACTGGCTCTGTTCCCTCTGCCCCGAAGGCCCTGCTCTCCCCTCCAACAGCACCTGGGGGACGGGATTCCTGCCTGCGTCTGTCCCTACGGGTCCCAGCCGGCTCCGGAAACCTGCCCTTCCCTCCGGGACCTGGTGTGACCCCGTGGCTGCTCGGGGCCTGTGCTCTCTGGACACACACCAGCCCGGGACCTGATGACACGTGAGGATCGCGTGTGGCTGGCCTGGTGTCACCCCTCGGGCATGCTTGTGAACTTGATGTGAGGACAACACAAGGGGTGGCTTCTCTGCGGGTCCCTCAGGAGAGCGCATGGTGGTCCCAGAGACACCCGTCCCCCAGCACGAGTGCCGGGACCTGAAGCAAGACCCCGGGCTCAGGGGCACGTGGGCCCGCTGTTGGGGCTGACACTGGGGACCCCGCAACCTCGCGCCCCCACGGGAGAGCCCAGGGAGGTAGAGAGACGAGCCGGGCACTGGGCCCAGTGTTCCGAGCAAAGACTCTCTCGGGAACTTGGCCAGCTCGGTGAAACGCACGTTTCAGAGCCGGACCCTGTCATGTAGTCACAACGGAAAGGACAAGAAGGGAAGGTCAATATTGTTCTAAATTAGACTCACCGCTTCTTTCCGTCAGGCACACGTGGGTGGCTCCAGGGTACCGACCATCTAACAGGGAAAAAAAGGTCAGGCTTCTCCACCAGGTGGATGATAAAAACGGGCAGGGATTTGTGCAAATCAACTTGCAGGTTGCTGGTTCTGACTCTCAGGGTCCAGGCAGGGGTATTGGGGTCGGGGGGGAGGCACTTGGGGATTCAAGGGGTCTCCAGAGCTGGTGAGCAGAGCCTCGGCGGGTGGGAGCCAGAGCCGAGCAGGGACGTGTGGGCAGAGCTTGGACAGTGGGGAGCTGGGCACAGGTGTTCTCCCCGTGGGGACAGCTAGGCACCACATGGTCCGAGTGTGGCAGGTGTGGACTCGTGTGTGCTGCTGCTATTTTAAAACCATTTTCCAAGATGACATGCCTGAGGGCACAGCCCAGGACACACCCTGCATCAGGGTCCAGATGGTCCCCCGGGGTCCTGGCCCTTCCCAGCGCCCCAGGCTCAGGAGGAAGAAGCAGCAGCCTGACCAGGGGGTTGCGACCGGTTGAACCGTGGTCCAGGGCTGTCCCTGCCTCGTCAGGCTAGAGGGCCGGTCGGCCGGGCCGAGGAGGCTGGGGAGAAGTCGGCGCCCTCGTCCTGGGCTGGAGGGCTGTAAATGGCGTGGCCACGCTGGGAAGCGTAGGAGCCTCAACAGTTTCCTCCCAGAAATACCTCAGCACCGAGAGGTTCTGCTCCTGGGTTCACACCCCAAAGCACCGAAAGCAGGCGTGTGTGGACCGAATTGTGTTCGCCCCAAATCCCTGCGGCTTAACCCCCAGAACCTGAGAGTGTGACCTCAGAGTGGAGACAGGGCCTTTACAGAAATGATTAAAATGTGCTCATCAGGGTGGTCCTAAACATCACGGCTTGTGTCCCTGCAAGAGATGGGGGCACAGACACACACACAGGGGGTGACCAGGCGAGGACCTGGGGAGGCAGCGTCCACACGCCCAGGAGGGAGGCCTCAGAGGAAGCTCGGATACTGGGCTTGCAGACTCCAGACCGGGAGCCGTGGCCGCCCGTGGCTCGAGCTGCAGGCTGTGGTGTTTGTGTGGCAGCCTGGCGAAGGAACACTCGGGTCTCAGAGAGGGGTCTGCGGCCACGCTCACGGCGGCCTTGTTCACGAGAGCCGAGCCCCGGAAACATCCCGGTCCCTCAGCCAACCGGGGTCCACCCGTCCCTGGAATGTCCATCGGTCTCCAAGAGGAAGGAGACTCTAACACCTGTTGCCGCGAGGATCGACCTTGAGGACCCGGGAGAAGCGAGCCCGTCACAAAAGGCCCCGGGCTGTGGGGCTCCCCTCAGGGGAGACCCCGGAGCATCAGATCGCGCAGACGGAAACACGACGGCAGAGGGGGCCGCTGGCGGGATGGGCTGGGGCTTTACCCCAGGGACATAGAAACGCCTGGAACTGGAGGTGGTGGCCATGTGGTCCCACGAATGCGCTAAATGCCACCCAACTGTTCACTCCAAAACAGTTCATTTTATGTTACGGGAGTTTCAACTCAGTAAATCGCTTTTCAAAGAGGCTGAGGTTTTATTTTTATTACTTTTTAATAATTTTTAAAAATATACTAAAAATTTTAAGACATTTATTTTTGAGAGAGAGAGAAGGAGACACAGAATCCGAAGCAGGTTCCAGGCCTGAGCCTGGAACAGAGCACAGAGCCCGATGCAGGGCTCGAACTCACAAACCGTGAGATCGTGACCTGAGCCGAAACCGGACGCACAGGCGCCCCAAAGTGGCCGAGGTTTTGCAGGTCAGCATCACCTCTCAGAAGCCTCTTGTGACCCCCTGCCGCCTCTAGTGTCCCTGCAGTTGGGCTCAGGGCCCAGAACATGAGGGGACCGCCAGGCAGAGCGTGTCCCTGTCTCTCCAGGCCCGGTCCCCGTCACAGGGCACTTTCTCCCCAGCCTCACTGCCATTCCTGAGCTGTCCCCACTTTCCTGCCCTTCTCTGTATTTATGTTGAAATACCTGTCCGAGAGCCGAGAGTCGGCTCCCAGGGAGGGGAGCTGAGCAGTCCTGGGTGCCTCCCAGCAGGTGAGGTGGCTTCCGTGGGGCCCCAGGGCCCAGCTGCCGGAAGGCCCACGTGGCCGCCCCGTGGACCGGCTCTCACATGGAACCCTGTTCGGTTATTTCTTGCTCTGTGCTAGAGGCCTATTTAGCGTCTTTCCTGGGTCCATAGTGGTGTTTGCAGGGGCCTCCAAATGTGTGCCTGTAGTGGGTTGAATGGTGACTCCCCAAAGTCATGGCCCCTGGAACCTGTGAACGGGACCTTGTTTGGTAAAAGGGCCTTTACAGATGTCATTAAGGCCACTCTGGATCTGGGTGGGTCTAGGGCCTGTGACAGGTGTCCTGGTAAGAGAAAGATACAACAGACCTGAGACAGAGGGAAGGCCGAGTGAAACGGAGAGGGAGACAGAGACATACACAGAGAGACAGAGAGATACAGAGACAGAGAGATCCTGAGACGGACAGAGACACAGAGCACTGCCAGCTTCCAAGGGCGTCTTCACGGAGAGGCTGGCGGGCGGCTGCCAAGGTGACCTTCTGCACTGGTTGCCTCCTGAGCTACCCCATCCCGGGCTCTGTGATCATAGCTCCAACGGGGGTCAGAGGCTCAGGCCCACCCTGTCATGAGCCTTCGTCGGGCCTTGTGGCTGCACAGGTGGTTTCTGGAACCCATCGGGCCAGGCCCGGAGCCACAGCACCGACCACACGGCCAGACGCTCCTTAGCTCCTCCAGCTCCGGCCTCCCCAACCTCCCATCCGCCCTGCCCTCCACTGCCCAGCGAGGTGGAGGTTGGCGGCACCCCGGGACCCTGCCCCCCACACCCCACCCTGCAGCGCAAGATGTTTGGGGTTGGGGGGAGGTACTTATGGGAAAGCAAACAGGAAATGTGCCGACCGTGCAGACTGGTGAGACGGACTGAAGGGCAGGGCTGGAGAAAGGCGGGGACCCGCCTCCTATAACCGCCGCTGCCTTGCTGCCCTGCGGCCCTGGCAACCGGCACACATAGAAAGGACGAGAAAAGAAAAAACGAAATTCGATATGCATTTTAAAGGACACGGGAAAATAAAAAGGAGGTCTGTTGTCTCACAGTTTGTTAATTCAATCAGGTGTGCGATTTAAAAACAGCTTTGCCACTCACTGAAAAGGAAATTAATTAGAATTTCTTACTGAATCCAGCGCAGGGGAGACAGTTTTGGATCGCGTGGTTCCGTGAGAAGGGCTCCCTACACGACACACTCCAAAGCCACAAGGCCACTCAGGTCCCCAGGATGGCTTAGGAAGGTTAGCCGGGGGCTGGCGTGGGAGCCACGGAGGGGAGGGCGGGTCAAGGGGTTAGATAGGCCGGGGCGCCTCTGAGGTGGTGAGAAGGGCGCATGCTCGGAAAGCTCTGTGGGTGAGTGGAAGGGGATCCTGGCGCACCCATTCGAGGTCACTGGGAGGTCCTTCCAGTGTGGACACGCCTGGGAGTCCGCGCTGCTGCCCCGCGGGTGTCCTGGAGGCCGTGGGGAGGGGCCCCTGGCAGCTGAGGCCAGTGTGGGACGGCGGGAGCTGACTGGGGTTCTCAGCGACACGGTTGACAAGAGCCAAACCTGGAAACAGCCCCCAGTCTGGCAGCGGCTGACGGACAGACAAGACGGCCCATCCTCACGGGGGACTACTGCTCAGCTGTGAAAAGGCACGAAGGGCTGACTCACGGTGCCCCGTGGGTGCACGGACCCTGGAAACATGACGCTCAGAGAGGACAGACACAAATGCACACACGGTCTGAGTCCACTGATGGGAGTGTCCACAGTAGGCAAAGCCACACCGTCAGAGAGCCAGGGGCTGGGGTGGGGGGGGGGGGGGTGACAGCTAGGGGCCCAGGAATTCCTTTGGGGGAAGGAAAATGTCAAACTGGCCTTTGCGATGGTTGCACAGCTCTGTGAATGGAAGGAAACCACTGAATCATACACTTTAAGTGGACCAGCTTTATGGCATGTGAGCTACAGCTCAATAAAGCCGTTAAAGGGAAAGAAGTCAATGATCTATTAGAAAAAAAAAAAAAAAAAAAAAAAACAAAAACAAAACAACTGTGGGACCACCCAGGGGCTGGGCAGGGCCAAGGTTCCTTCTGCCAGGTGGGGAGGGCACGGGCTGGACACAAGAGGGGCTTGAGGCTTATCAGTGGGACTTGCCGGTGGCCCCCAACACAGCGCATTCCCCTCTCTGGCCTGGAGGGGCTTCTGCTCTTACTGAGTGTTGGGCTCAGACAGCACTCATTCCCTCTGGCCAAGGGGATGCCTGACCCCCCTTCTTCTCAAGGAGACTCCTGGCCCCTCCCCTTTCCCTAAAGAGAACCCCCCCTCCCCCCCCCGGCCCCTCCCCTCTCCCCAAGGAGACCACTGGGCCCTCCCTCTCCCCCAGGAAACTCCTGGCCCCCTCCCCTCTTTCCCAGGGGACTCCTGGCCCCTCCCCTCTCCCCAAGGGGACCCTGACCCCTTAAGGAGTAGCCTGGTCAGCATCCTTCTCACTAAGCTGACAGTTTCCAAGCAGCTTCCTCAGTGTTTGGGGCGGACGCTGCTTCCCTCCCATGAGACTGTGGTCTCGAATCTCATGCTTCTCTCTCCAGCGCAGACGGGCAGAGGAGTAGCCGAGGCTGGACAGACGGTGGATGATGTCTCTGTGCACCTGCGGGACCTATGATGGCCAGAGGCATCGTTGAAGGGACCTGCACGCAGAGGGAAGGGAGCAGGACAGCTGCCGAAGTGCCCTCCCTAGGCTGCTGGACTCCAGCCCACCTCGGGCTGCAGTGGGTGTTTGGTGAGGCCAAGGACCTCCCTCCACCCCCCACCCCCCCACTGAGAAGGCAGTCAGTGGGAAGGGGTGGGAAGCCAGAAGGTCAGCAGGGGCAAGGGGACCTCCAGGATTGCCTCAGCGGGGAGAAGCTCGCCTTCTTTCCTGACCCCGGGGCCACCCTCAGATGCCCACATCTACTCTAGAGGTCTGCACACCCCTGCCCAAAGCCACACTCTGAGGCTCGCTGGACACAGGGAGGAGGGGAGGAGTGGTCAGCGGGCCCAGCCCCCACTGGGGAGAGGGGCCCTGAGACCTTAGAGGCTGTCCCTCAACTGGGCAGGGCA